GCGGTACATCTTTTTACAAGGCAGTGAAAGGAGAAGACATAATCTAGTAAAAAAGCTCTTCAGGTCCGAGCTGTGTGTAGTGCTGGGCTTTTAGGGAACCGTGGGGGCACGTGGCAAGGCAAGCTGAACTGCACAGCCATTGACGGCTTCCGCAAATGACGCTGAGCTTCACACACGCTCACACGTAGGTGGCAGCTGCCGTGGGATTCTGGTGCTACAGTTTGTCCTTTGGAGATGCCTGCTTCTATCTGTGCATTACATGGGGAGCCTGCGGTCACTTCTATCCTAAGACAGTTGAAGTGTCCAAAGCTACCCAGTGTAAATAGCTCTGCAGCATTTCCTCTGTGTTTACTACTACTCAAGTACCTACTCATCTCGTTCCATTAAGGTTCAAGATCTTCTTTGTAATATTCAGATACCACAACCTCTGCCACAACAGTTTAGAGCTACAGTTATAGTATTCTAACTGATCTCTTGAGAGGAGACCAAGATACTCAAGTAAGTTGCCCAAACAGGATGTGGTATAGAAGCAGGACACTGTTAAAATGTCAATAGACATTAAAACTTCTACATGGAAGGCCAGTGTTCATCTAAAAATACATTTTGCATGTGTGCTATGTTCTTTTCCTCAGTTTTTCTACCTGCTGTAACAGGGAAGATGCACACTTGCCCACTCAAAGTATTTTTTTTTTCCTGTTTAGTTACAAACCTCTGTGAGCTTTTTTAGTCTATAAATGTGGAGTACTAAAATGCTGAAACTACTCCCATGTAAAAAATCCTTAGCACTGACAAGACCCTACAGTAGCTGCTTATTATGTTCACTGTTGCTACTGCTGTAAAATAGTAATTCATTATATTTTCTTCCCTACTCATAAGCTGAAAGCAGATATAGCCTCTGTGACCTTATGGTGGTGAAGTGTGATGCATTCAGATTCTGTTCATATATTTGTTTAAATTAGAAGTAACTCTACTGATGGAAGAAAACCTAAAAATTAAGTGTTCTGTAATCACTATGAGTTATTTTCTCTCTTGCTGGTTAAATACATATTTAATATTTTAGTTGTTCTGCTGCAAAATGTTATTGATGAAATACATGAAGTATACAAACTGGTACGCCATAGCAATTTCTAGAAAATGAAGAGCTTTTTAGTTTTTTTTAGAATTTTTAACTGTTTTCACTGGGAAAGTTATTTGCATTTGCCCAGGAAAATGCTAGCTTGTATACTCAAAACTGTTGGTTCTCACATGTGTGAGAGGGAGAAGCTGTTTGGACTTACTTAAGACAATCAACTCCAAAGCAGTTTTGGCCAAAACCAACATATATTTAAAATGCAGCTCCTCTATTGAATATTCTGATTTCTTAGCAGAAACTGCACTTCACTGGGTGAAACTAACATGGGGTATATGTGTGAATTTCCCAGTGCTTAAAATGCTGTCAGAGATTTAAGCTGCAGCACAGTTTGGTAGAAGTTCCATGTCAGACCTCTCAGTGGCATATGCACGTAACAGTCCAGAAACTCTTTATGGAAAATAAACAGGTGCAACCAACAATGAGTTTGAACCCAACAAGTTGAATTGAGTAAGATGTTTTCCAGTGAGTTCAGCAGTCTTTGGAGCAGGCTGTAATTCAGTCATATCCTCACACAATCTGTGAGTATCCTTAAGCTTTGAGCCTCAACTCGGGCATTCTCTGTTTGGTTCATTTATTTTAAAAAATATCCAGTATTGATTCAAACAAGGAAGTGAAAACTCTGCATACCGCTGTTCTGACTTTCATAAATGTTCTTTTGGCACGGTCACAAAAATTTAATTAGCCTCCAAAGGACAAATTGTCTTTAGAGATTAAATAGATCTAGAATACTGTTAATAATAAATTTTAGGATGAAAATGAATTTCACAAGATCATCAAGCCTGTAAAGCCCTGCATTTTTGTTTTACAAACCCTTATAAATAATTTTGAGTCTACTAAGTAATACATACTAACATTTATTCTATAATACTGTGAAATAATCCTAAAAGTCTTCTGGGAGAACCCTACAGCAGTCCTGTGTGTCACTTCTGTATATTGATGGTTTATACTATAAGCTAAACTGTCCTAGACTCTTGGCAGTTCTTGGTTTCAGTTCTTTTAATTTCTGTATCCTGGTGTAGGGGTTTGCCAGCTTGTGAATAAGATGGAAGAAAACTCAGGCAAAGTCAAGGCTTTTAATAGAAATGATGAAGAGTTTCTGGAAGCATTTGTCATCTTTTGTGGCTTGGGGATCCAGAATACGCAGATGTATGAAGCAGTAGAGCGAGCTATGGCCAAACAGATGGTAACATTAGAGGTGAGTCCAACATCGAGGTGGTCCTGAATTACCACTAAGTAGATCCTAATTTTCTCCACACCCTGTTTGTTCTATACACAAGTGTTCAGTATCCGTGTGAGCAGCTGCAGAAATTAGAATCACAGAATCTCGGAATGTGTTGCGTTGGAAGAGACCTTTAAAGGCCATCTAGTCCAGCCCCCCTGCCAGCAGGCTGTTTTATTTGGTATTGTATTTTAACCTTGCTCTGAGGTTTAGTGGTGAGCTGACTGCATCTTTCCCTCTACGCTAGGCTGCACGCTTGGCACAATAGCAGCCTTGCTCTGTTGCGTAGGAAGAGGAAATGGTTTGGGGGATTAGGGGCTTCCTTTTCTTGTCTGAAGTTTTTTATGTGGTAGTTTTGGCTCAGTCCTTTAAACCAACTGAGTTGTGGAGTAATAGCAGCATTGTTGTAGGTTTTCAGCAATTTTCTCAGACTTCATTAAACCCTGTCAAGATTCATATCACCTGGTCTCAGCATTTGAATTGGTTACTTGTCCAGTTTAATACCTAATGAGGGCTTTCGTCTGAGAAGCTGGATTATTCAGAGGTTGTAAGGTGATAGATAACTTGAAGATGAAAGTGCAAACCTTGTAGACTTTGGATCTTCTAACATTCATTATGTAAACAGAGTGTTTGCAACATTCATAAAATGGGGATTATGTACCCCATAGTTTCTAAAAGAAATGTTACTGTTTTCAGAGAAATCTGTTATTAAACAATGCTAAATGAAAAGGTGGTAAAATTATTGCAAAAAATAATTTCAGTGCTTTAAAAACTAAGTATTGGTTTACATGGCAAGTTATTAACTCTCTTCTACCATAACCCTTTATTAGATAATATAGGAAGTCCAGACAGATTAAAGGTTTGTGTATAAAATGGATTCTTGGGGGGAAAAAAGGTCAGTCTCTAGTTGCTAAAATATCTCCAGAACATTTTCATGTCCTGTATTCTCAACAGCTAAAAAATATAAGCTTATTTTCCTAATTTAAAACAAACATATTTTCTTTTAGACTTCTTTGCTAAGTTCAACTAGGGCAAATCTTTCTTTTATGTCTGAATAGACTCCTGAAAGGATTATTATGGCAACGTCAGGCTCATAATTATAGCTGTTTCATATATTATTTGACTTTGAAAGTGGGGCACAAAAACTTTCCAAAGAGAAAATCAGAGTTCTTTGCTCTTTTATAGAATCTATTTATGTTTTCTTGGCCTAATTATCTCAGGAAGATTCCCTGCTGTGGGAGATTTGTGAAAGCTGCAGATACCTCCCTGTATGCTTTCAGAGACCTCCCTTAAAACCAGCACAGGCCCTGCACGGACACTAGATTTCATCAGTAAGTGCAAAGCTACAAGCTGTGCTAAGTGCAGCTGCAAGCTGAAAACTCTACTTTAGGAAAAATACCGTATTTAATCACATTGCTCTTTTGTTTGTACTAAGGGCTGCTCTTCCCTTCCTGTAGGTTCTCTCATACCACGCTTCTGCTGCTGAGGAGGAAACGAGGGAGCTGCAGGTAACAGTGGTAATTGAATTTTTTACTATTACTTTAGAAATAATCCATTAATAGAACAACAAAGGGCAATCCTTTACATAAATGTGATCCTTAAAACATGCAGAAGTCTATCTTCCAGAAGTAAAAATCATAGTGAAGCTTAAACTGATCATTGGTTCCTGAGCTGAAACAATACATCAGGGAAAGGGAAAAGTTGCAGTGCCCACCATGAGAGATACAGGTTGGCCGGAGAGCTGCAATGACAGGAGAACCACAAGTCCACCGCCTGCCTTGCTCAGGAGTTGAAGTGACAGTAACAGCTGATGCAGTGTTTGGATCAACTCACAGTTTCAGAAGCAAAATGCTGACAACTGTTCTTTCTGCAGCTAACTCTGAACATTGTATATTTTATATCTTTGGTACCTGGCAAGCATCCCTAGTATGGGTGCAGCTTTGTGGCATCACACAGAAATTCTGTATTTAATTGTTAATGCAACATTTTGGGGGTTTTTTTAATGGTTCTACTCATGCTTACTTCTGTGTTTAGAAACCACTGTCTAAGGAATAACCAGAGCTATAAGTTTGCTCTCCTGGAGCTGACGTACTGGGGAAATAGGTGTATGAAAAAAAAGGGAGGGATGGAGATGAAGGTACACGTAGGGGACCACGAGCTGAGCAGTATGGGGTTGGACTCGACAAGCAAGACTCAGAGTTGTAGAATAGTTACTGTGACAAACATTTTGAACCTCAGTCCTACCACACTGTTGCACATTGATCAAGAGGCACGGACAAGACCAGCATGCAGCACATCTCCTGCGGTTTTTCTTCAGGGCTTGCGTTTGTGATCTCTCTGGTTATGGCTTTACTGATAAACAGAACCACAAGAAAATATAGCACTGAACCAGTGTCCACCTCTACCTCCAAACTGTTCACACGCTTCCTAGCATGGTCTTGGCCCATGTCAGCCACTGCTTTCTGAGGTGATACCAGTGCCCGAGCACATAGCACAGCCATCCCCAGCAGGCGGTGCGGATGGGAGCACCAGATTTGCCTGTCTCTAGCCCGCAGTCTTGCCGTGCTATTTGAGCGGATTTTGTACCAGCAGATACACCACACTGCTTCAAGTGACATGCCAGGGCAGGAAATAAATATCTTTATTTTCGTGCTGTGAGGCCATCACTCTGTATCTTAACAGAGCAGTCAAGTTAGTTGAGATAATTTGAGCTGAAAAAAAGATTACAGGCACTAAAAATATGAGTACCTTACAACTCCAGGGCACCACACAGAGCAAACCATGGACTAAGTGCCATGTAGTACGGACAAAGCAGTTTGCGGCCTTTTGCCCCCTTGCTAGAGAATGATGCCTGTCTTGTTTTCTATAGCCGTATAGATCTAGCCACTTCATTGATAATTTGGGTTCTTTGTGCTTTTGTGTACAAGATACCTAATTCAGTAACCATTCCTGAAATTGCTCCTTTGGCGTTATTTTATTTAGAAAGCTTAATTTCTTTCTTTGGTGCCACATTCCACCACTTGGATTACTCAAAGCTTCCCTTACGGCATATAAAGTTTCTCGTTGTGTTGTCTTTTATGAAAGTAGTTCTCTTTTTTTTTCCCAGTTTTTTCTTTGTAAATTGCAGAGATTTAATTTCATAGCTGTCACTCCTCTTTCTTTTCAAGAACAGAGAGCAGCTTAGATTTGAATTTGAAATTTGTGGTGTGTGTCACACAAAAGTAAACATTAATCCTTGATTTTTTTTCTAAAGTACTGACTGTGAAGTAGGTTTTTATATGTTGAGCATTTGGAAAGTGCTATTACTATTACATAAAAAATTGCTAAAAATAAAAATACTTTGTGGAGTCTCTGTATGTTTAAAGATTTTACTACCTATGACCATGTATATGGTCTCCAGTCTGCTTTTCACCTAATTTAGTGTATGTTTTACATTTTTGCATCTGGTTCTGCAAATGCCCTACCTATGTCGTAGGCTGCCACTGAGTTCTTGACTTGCCAATATCCCAAGACTCTGCATGTTTTTACTTTGTTGGTAGCTCACCTCACTGATATCCATGATACCCAAAGAGAGGGTCAGAGCTGAGTCAAAATGTTATACAAATATGATTGCAGACCCTCACCCTAAAAATCCCCATGGTTCAGCTACATGGTTAAAAGCCCTGCACTGCAGTCTTTCAGTTGAATCAAAGCCTTATTCCTAAAGCAAGGAAAACAGACCAATCTTGGTCTTGAGATTTCTGTTGTAAGCATGGTATAGTATCTCACTACTTCTCTGTTGCAAAAGCAGCTGTTTATGTTATGTTTTCTCTTTCCTAGTGCTAAGCTGTGTTCTTTTATTCTCTAGGCTGCCATAGTACCATCCGCGCAATCGCTCAACTTAACTGACTTCTACTTCAGTGATTTTGAGCTGTCAGATTTTGAAACAACACTGTGTACAATTCGAATGTTCACAGACCTCAACCTGGTGCAAAATTTCCAAATGAAACATGAGGTATGAATGCTGGCAAATGCTGCTTCACATGAGGAGATGCTTTAAGTATTAGAAAATCTAGAAATCTGGAAATCTGTATTAAAGAATAGTTGGCAAACTAGGGAGGTACATGAAGTGGGCAGTACTGGGGTTTGTCCTCAGTTTGGTTCTACCTAGTGATTAACAGTTTAGTTAATGGACTATAAGAGACTTTTAGGAAACTTGGGGAGTGGAGATAGAGGACTCAAATTCAAATGAGTTAGAAAACATACAGCAATTCAAAGTCGGCAAGAAAAAATACATAAAGACTCATGAAACAGTCACACAAAAATTAAAAGTGCTGAACAAAAGCATAGCTAGTGGTAACGGAGAAAACCATTTCACAGCTACTTCTGTCAGAAACAGTGTACAAGTCAATAACGTGCCATAGTAATGAAAAAGGGTAAATTTCGTTCTTTCCTAGCAGTGGCATAATTGAAGGAACATGGAGTTACTGTGTTGTAGTTCATATTTGAGGAGACACACAGAGATAGAGGATAATTAAAAAATAACAGTTAAAGAGATTGAGCAATGTTTGAATGAATTAAGATGCTGTTCTCTAGATTAATAAAAGAAAGTATTTATTTGCTAGATCACCAGTTGACAGATGAATTTAGCAGTGTTTAAGGGCCAAAAGGAGCACTGTATTACCTATTGTGACATCTTGAATATCCCAGTACTTCATTTCACCTTTGTATTAAGGTCAAAGACTTGTACTTCCTTGGGTACTATGTCCCAACAGAAGAGAGGGAATCGAGTAACCCAGTAACGGGTGGCCTAATAGTTCCTACTGGGGCAAAACCAAAATAACAACGTGACAAAAGACCCACAATTATACATCTCAATAGAAGCAAGAGAACGTTGACAGCTTTGAAGCTACACTTGCACCTTTCCATGCTAGAGCTGAAGAAGACTGGCAGCAGTCTAGCTTCCTTTTCTAACAGCACAGGGGCAGAGAACACTGCTGCTTTCATCTGTGTGGAATCATTTCTGTGGATGAATGATAGTTTTTCCTTTCTGGCAGTACATCTATCACTTAGGAATGATAAAAATGTTCTTGAACAAACAAAGGCCTAGATTCTCAGCCAGCATTTTAACATGGCGCAGTGTGTTGTATCCATTTAAACCAAGGGTCACTATCTGACCTTAATGCCTTTCACTTTCTACAAGTATAACCCACAATTTGTAATACTGTTGTGGTGAATATTCAGGACACTCTTTCTTCCTGAAAAAAACCAACACAATATTACCCAGCAATATAGTAATCTCTGTGTTTCTGTCATACTCATTTGCTTTCCAAAGTCCAATTCCATTTGTCTGTTGACAAGTTGATATGAAGGAAAAGCCACGTGTTCATTATCTAAACAGCTCTAAAGAGAACTCTATAATGAAAAAAAATCCTCTCTTAAATGTGTTGTTACAAGCAAAGACTTTTTTTTTCCTACTAGTTAGCTCAACATAAGTCAGTTTATAAATTATCAGCAGTGCAGCTGATGCTAATGTTTAGCCATTAGTAATAAAAAACCAAACCCACAAGTACTGTGTGCTCAGTGAGAGGCTGAACTAGTTGCTGGAAGCACATTTTTATCTATGTTCCCAGTTACAAGTATGTTATATTTGAACTTAATTGAGTGTAAAGCATTTTTGGGTTTTTTTCTGTGTGAGAGACAGTTTTCAAGTGGGACTAGAGCAAGTTTTGTTTTTATAAAAAGGCTACATTTGTAATACATTCACCTCTAACCATGTGATGCTGTTTCTTAAAGGTTCTCTGCAGGTGGATTTTAAGTGTAAAGAAAAACTATCGGAAAAATGTTGCTTATCACAATTGGAGACATGCCTTTAATACAGCGCAGTGTATGTTTGCTGCTTTAAAATCTGGTAAAATTCAGGTACATTTTTCTATTTCTACATTAAGAACCTTTGTCTAAACAAATTCTATCGTGATGCATGGTTCTGATTGTCATGTCAGTAAGATGTTCATGTGGTATTGCTAGTGAAATCTAAGAATTTCTGCGGAAGACTTCTGGCTTTAAGGACTTAGTTTGTGAAATTGTTGCCATATTTCTCTGTACCCAATTTCAGTTAAATCCTCTGGAAAAGAATAGCTGGATATTCCCAATTGAAAGGCCTCAAATAAGCAATATACACAATTACATCTTTTTTAATCAAGTTAACGCTCATGCTACAAGCAAGTCAAAAAGGTGGAGAGGAAAAAGGACTGACTTTGTTTCAGGATGTTTCTTTATAATGTTCAACAGGAGATTTTTTGAGTTCAAACACAGTGCTGAGTACAGCTTTAGACACACAATAGAATGGAGGTTTTTTTGTAAATGAAGATTTAAATGCTCATTTCAATGTCTTTGAACAATGTTTCAACCTTCTACTTAAAAGACACATAATAATTTCAAAAATAGCCTAATCGTTCTTTACTAAAAATACTGAAGGGCTAAATGATTCCCAAAATAAGAAGATGTTTCAAAAATAGAGTTTTAGGGATTTTTTTAATCTCGAAGAAAATAAAAAGTTTCTGTCCATTCTGAATTAACGTTTCTTCAGTTTGATTACAAACATTGTCACTAGTTGGTTTATCCTATTTTACAGTACACACTTCTGGAAGAAGAACTACATCCTATTTGTAGACCAAACCTTAATACCAATAATGAAGAGGCATTCCCTTCCTCTACAACTTTGTCCTACTAAAATAAAATAGACAAAAGGTGCTGGAAAAGACTAAGGCTTTCATAGTCCTTCTATGCTGACATGGAATTGGTAGTTTCGCTCTGTGTACAGTTTAGCCATCTCCAGTGAGATAGCTTGCTTGCTATTTTTAGTATCCTGTCAGTCTCCACTGCAATTTCCATTTTCATTCCTAACTACACTGGATTCACTCCACACTGATTTTAATGTCCTAGATTCTGGGGTCAGAATGGCATTGCATAGAAGTCTCAATTTTCTCTAGTTTGAGGGGCAAAGCAAGTACTGGGGCACACATCCTCCTAGGGGAAATATAAAAATCAGTTGTTTCCAAACTGATTTGTCTTTTGACTAGACTAGGAACAGGTTTTATTATCTGGAAGGCAGATGTAAATCTACAGAAATTATAACTGCCTAAAGAATAATGGGATGTAATTGTACAGAGAGCACAGCCCCTCAGCAGCAGTGCTGTCACTAGCTGTTCTTCTGATTTGTGTCCTGAATGAATTGTCCCATGACAAAATGCTGCGTGAATACTGTAGGTTTGTCCAGCTGCAGTTTCTCACTGGACAGATTTAAATAATTTTTTGTCTAATTCTTTTGAACAATATTAAAGATAGAAAGTAGTTATTGAAGAGAAACTGTCACCTCTCCACTAATCCTTGTAGGAGCTCCAGAATAGGCTCTTTAATAATGAGTCATTGGTTAGCTTTGTTTTCCATGGTTTTTAAACTTCTGTTAATTTATTTGCCCAGTGATCAATGAACAGCATGACATTCTTCCATTTTGATTATTCCGAGGACATTTGTATAATGCATTTTTATACCTACTTAGGGAATATAGCCTAACTCCCTTAATGTAATGGAGAAGCTGAACTGGAAGTCATGGGGCTAGAATTAAAAACTTTCCTCATGCTCTTTCTGTGCCGCCAGGTGACATTACCCAAGTCAC